AACACCATGCTCGTGGCTCTCTGCAACACTACAGCATTGGCCCGTCCCCTCCGGGAGGCTCATGATGCTGGGGGGGTTATGACAAAGTAACCTTTGAATGAACGCATTTAATTTCTGAAATATAAGCTCCCAGGGCTGCTCTTCTTCCCAGCATGGTTCCCGGCATGGAGAAGGGCAATGGGAAGGCAGGCAGGCTGGAAGGGCTTGCTGGTTTGGGATTCGCGTTGAGCTCGCGCTGCTGGCTTGGTTTCAGCTGTCACATACTATTACTCATGCCTCCTAAGGATAGCCTTACTTTTTTTTTTTTTTTTTTTTCTCTGAAAGTCTCCAAATTATTTTCATTGGCTGCTTGAAAGGATTTTAAGAGACTAAGTGACAGCATGCTCCCCAACCCTTGGAGGGATGAAAGCATCGGAGGGATTTTGGGGGGTGTTAACAGGGTTAAAGATGCTCATGGAGCTCACACCCTTCTACTACTCATTCAAGTCTCCAGGTGAGAACCAGTCCTGTGGTCCCCACCACTACATTTTGGGAGTCAAACGAGAGCATCAAGGTTAACACATCTCCCTGAATGGACTGGGGAGACAGCAATACCTTTAAAAGAAGGCAAAACTGGGAGAGGAAAAAATTAACCTGCATCTCTCTGCCTTTGCTGGTGCACGGATCAGAGACTTTGGGCAAGCAGCTATCACAGACCAGATTGGTCTTCCTCCCCACTCCCCGATGAGCTGTTTTCCACCGCAGGCTGGAGCAGGCACATTGCACACATTTGCTATTCCAGGCAGATTAAAAGACGCTATGATGGGTGCATGCAGTCCTCCTTCACCTGAGGAGCCCTGTGAGATGCTGCTGTCCTGGAAGAGCTGAAATCATCTTCCCTCCTTGCACTGCAGATCAGCCAAGGAAGGCTCATACTTAAGTTTTCTTTCTCATAATTTATTTCTAAGAGATGTCAAAAAGCTCACTTTCCCCCCTCCCAAGAGTTTTTCCTGCTGCTCAATGTTATAGGACGAATTCTTGTCCTGCCCGTGCTGAGTAATGATGGCCAGCCATCAGCCAGAGCCAGATTTAAGGTGTGAAAGTTAAGCTGGAAAGATTTAAAACAGATTGTTGGCAAAATCTACTCAACTCAAATGGCTCGTTAACATATGGACCAGAAGAAGTCTTGTGTTAACCCAACCCAACATTCTAATTCCTTTATGAAGACATTAAAGACTAGAATACCCAAATGCTGCTTTGTTGTTGAACAGAGATAAGGACGAGAAGATCCCCAACTTCAGGAACCCATTTGCAGCTCACTCTGAAAGCAAAACTAAAACAAACTATGTGGGGACTGGGGCTACAGGTGCTCTCTGAAAGGCAGAAGATGTAGGCTCTGATCTTTATCTGATGAATCCTGCTACAGCTCACCGCTTCCCATGGTTTTAAGCCCACCTTCCCACTAGCCAAACCCCTTGGCTCCTCGACATTTAAAGCAGGTGACAGTCCCTAAGCTCCTACAGATGGTCCATAATAACCCTACACCCACGACCAAGCACAGCACATGTGCTCTGCACTGCTGAGAGAAAGGCAAACCCTCTTGGAGGGCAAGCGAGGAGAATCTTGTGAGGTTGGCCTCAAGAAAAAGAATCTTTGCCGGCAGTGGCAGGGACTGGCAGGAGGCAGGATGCAATTCTCTCTGCTGGACACCAGGGTTAGCACAGCTGCCTGCACACAAGATTTCTTTAAGGCAAATGCTGCAGTGAACGCTCTACTTTGCCCTCAGACTGCTGCACAGGTCCTTACTCGGTATTTCTGGCCTCTGAAAAGCAGTGAGAAAGGAAAGAGGACTTTTGAGCAAGGAAGGAGTTAGATTTGCCTTTCCAATTATCCACTGCTGTCATTATGACCTTCCATAGTTAAACAAAATTACCCTAAACAAACAAGGCTCCAGTGCTCCGGTGGAATGCTGGCATTAGCAGCCATCCACACTCACTGCTGAAGAGCCCTGACATATTGATATTAATTTAAATTTCCCCTTGACCGTCATTTTTGATTCCCTCCAGCACTGAACTTCTTTTTAGTACTGAGGCATGTTCCTCCTACTCTTCTATTAAATGCTTTAAAATTAATTAAAGAGGCTGTCTGGCCAGGCAGGGTTTTAAATTCCCTTTCTCAAAGAAAAATCTGACTCACCCAACACCTCTCGCAGGGACAAGAATGGTAGAGACAAAACCGTTCTGGGGCAGCTTCCAGCCAAGGGCTTTGTAACCCTGTTCTTTCAAATGAAGAAAATGAGAATAATGACTTTAAGTGCCCACCATCTGCAATTAATTTCTGCAAGGAGAGCAGTTAAGCCCTGGAACAAGCTTCCCAGAGGATCTTACGAATCTCCAATCCCTGCTCAGTTGAGCTGTGAACATCTCCAAGCCCTGGAGCAACCTCATCCAACTTTGAGGCAAGCCCTGCTCTGGGCAGAGGGTTGGACCACAGACCTCCGGAGGTCCCTCCCAAACTCAATCACTCCCCGACTCTAAGAAGGCTGAAAACCTGATAGGGACCATTTGTTGAGGAGGCGACTAATTAAAAAAAATATTGAACATTTGCTGTTAAAAAAAAAAAAGATTACAGTAAGTAATTATATGCGACTTAATATGTCAACTGCAAAGAGTTACCTGAAGGAAAGAAAATTAAGGGGATTAAAATAAGAAGCGTACCACTTGTGACAAAGAGACAAAGACAAAAAATGCCATCAACTTGTGTTTATGAGCTGCTGTGTTTCTAATTAGGGCCAGACACCAAATTTGCATTTTATCTTGATTGAAACAGAATGAAAACCAAAAAAATAAAGTCAGCCGATGTTAAACTGTTTTCCCTGTTTAATTCAAGGGGTAACCTTACAATGTTCCAAATAGCTGTTTTTTTCTTCTGTTTTTAAGATCTCAGCTTCATTGGAGTGATTTCAATTTAAAACACGGAGGACTTTCAAGTAGGGGGAGAGAAGGAATGAGGTCACCTGCCAAGCAACGGCTGCATGGCACAGAGCACGGGTACAACAACAGCTTGCAAAATAAATGAGTAGGCATCAATAAACAAGCCACAGGCTGAGAGAAACCCATGCCTCAAACCAGGGGAAGCGGCAAAAGCAGTGGCCATTACTGCTTGTACTGGCCCTGCCTTCAGAGATGGCTGGCTGAGAAGGATGCTCTGCAAGCCCAGCACAGTCACCCAGCACCAGATTCTCTCAAAAATGAAGCAAAATGGCAATCAAGCTAGTGCTCAGTGGGACATGTCAGCTGCCATCAGACAGAAGGAACCAATTTCCTTTCCTTCTGCCACAATCCTTCTGACTCGGGTGACTCACATGATGGAAACCTGCAGATAGCACCTAAGAGCAGGACGTGCCCTAGCACAGTCTCTTCTCTCATTGCTCTCACCCTCCACTAGCATGCCAGAAACCATGGAAGAAAACCAGCACACATCATCTGGGGGCCATCCACACCTCTCCTGGAGCTGAGCATCACGTTGCTCCCCACTGGACAAGACTCTCCAGAAGCCAACAGCAATTTCAGTGTGTCCCACACCCTTCTAAGCTGAGAGCCACAGCTGTTGGTTGAAGGAGCACGTAAGTCCCCTGTGGCCCCGCTGGAAACAGGCACCAAGGTTCAATCAGGACAGGATCTGCCCCGACTCTGCTGTAAGGCTTCATCCCTGCTCCTTTGTTCATACCCCCAAGAGCATCCTTGGTTTTGTTTTCTGTCCTGTGACCAAAGGATGTCAAAAGATCTCACAACCCTTGCGGGAAGGTCAGAATCAGGCTTTTAACACCCGGGAGACACAAGACACCTTTCACATCCCACCATTAGTTACAGCTCCTTGATGAGTGGCCCAAGACTGCAGCAGGACTTTGCTTTGGTGATAAAGAGAGTGAAGTCCCTGCAGCAATCTCAGCCTCAGAGGCGCAAGGGAGACTACAGGTACTGCAATGAACAAACGCAGAGAGATTCTGTTTGCAAACCAAAACGCTTCCTACAGGTATCACTGTATACATTGCACCTTTACCACTGGCAGCTATGAAAAGATGCTACGCCCACCAATTCCACTTTCAAGCTTAATGAGTTCTGGCAGCAATCCTGACAGCTCAGCATGACTGCTACTCATGAAGACCGTCTGCACCTTCTCGCTCCTACCGCTATCCTGCCAACAAAGCAACAACGACTCTTAGCATCATGGTTTATTCCCCCTCCGTATGTACAATTAAGTGTATGCATGACCATTAAAAATAAGGCTACTTATATCATGGCTCTGAAACACATTACAAACCAAATTCATCCCCTCTCTTATTACAACATTCAAAACGCTTGGCTTCCATGGTGTGCAGAGAGGGGCAAACACAACCAGACCACACGGGCGATTAAGTGGTGCAGGGCTTTGGTAACTGGATCTAGAAGCTTCCTCCTCTAGCTGAAATAGTCAAACAGACAGATCAGTGTGTGCAAGATTGTTATCCCACAACCTCTCGGTGAGGTCAGTCCAGGTCCCAGGCAACTGCAGGTCACCTCATCTCAGCACGTTGCTGGTGGCAGGCAGCAGAGAGGCCCAGGCTCGTGTGGAAAAGGACAACATGCTCCTCTCCTTTGGAGCTGCCCCTTTTGGGTTGAGGCAGGGACGTAAGGAGAGGAGGAAGGGGAAGCTGCCCTTCTCTTCTTGATGACCAGAGGACTTCAGTCTCCAGAGGTGTCAACCTGGGTGATATTTCTCAATATTTAACGCCTTAAAAAGAAATAATAAAAAAAAATAATCAAAGGAACGAGTGAACCATATTGTTATGGGATCTCAAAGCAGACTGCTTGCATGTCCAGGTAAGGCTTAGAGACTTTCTTTTTCCAATGGGAATGAAGGAACAGTCCAGTTGAAAGTAACCAGAGATATGCAACTGAGAACAGCCCTGTGTGGTCCTGTAATCTCCCTTCCCAAGTAAATCTGTTCCCATATGCAACAAGAGAGAATCTTCCAGCTTCAGCTTGTGGCTCAATAAATTTTATTATTCCTTTTTGTTTTTATTTAAAAGAATTTGTTTTCCTATCATAAAAATTAGACAACCATACCACCACCACCAGCAGCAGCAAAGTCTGTGGAGTTAATGTTGATGGCAGACAGTTCACTGGTGTTTCCAGTGTCTCAAAATGTCCTAGAAAGTCCATAAATGGAAAAAAACCCAAACATGATGGTTTTGGGGAGGAACATCAAGGTGGTTTCGGTTTCTTGTCCCGCTGAGGATCCCAGATGAATACTGTAGCATATCAGCAAGACCAAGTACCTCATGCCTTGAGAGAAAACCCTTCATACCAGCTCCAGTACCTGATTAGTAAGGAAGACGAGACATTTAGAATAGCAATTTATGACATTCATTATCTCCTACATCAGCATATAGATCACTAGGACAGGACTGACCTTTCTGTCTCCACCCCTTACCCTTTATTCACCAGCATGCAATAATATCACGCAAATGGGATAAGCACTTGGCAAGGATCCCGATTTTGATGTTTGCTTGCGCTAGGATAAATTATGGCATGAAGCAAAACCATCCACAGTTGTCTCGTTTCCATTCATCCCAATCAACCAGCTCTCAGAAATCTTGTAACGGAGATCAGAGATTTTGTCCTCTCAGCCCTCTGTGGGTAGGACACATTTCCCTTGTCCGTGCTAAGATGGTGCAGCAGCCTCTGAAGGCATGGTCTAGAGATGGCCAAAGAAAAGTAACTATGAAGGCTGTCACCTGCAGAGTGATTTGCACAGCCTGTATTAACCCAGGATGCTCTTACTGGAGAAAGCTCTAGAGCTTTAGCCCACGGGTGCTGGCTGGCATGGAATCTGCCCCCAGATTGAAAAGGGTTTGTGGAAACCCAGTCCTTTCCCAGACCATCCCACCTTCCCCCTGTGTGCTGCCAAAGGCAAATGGAAATACCAGAGCTCTGACAGCCCTGACTGTTTCCACGTTTCTCTATCTACCTCCTCCCTTTAACAAGCAAACTGCATGAGCAAAAGCTCTCCTCTCTAATCACTCTTCTCTTGCTGCTGGATTCACTTCAAGGTATCAAAAGCATCTGTGCATTTTGTCCATTTTACTAAGAAGGAAGTGACCAAAGTAATGAGCAACCGGTTCTGCAGCCTGCTAAATAAATTGCCTACGAACGAGAGGCTACAGCATCACACGCTGCAAGAGTGGGAGTAACCAGGCCACTCATGGCCTAGAAAGGAGGAAAAAAAAAATATCTTGACATGCAGTCAAACACAGACCACTGCAGTCTCCCCTCACTCTTGCTTTTTTTTATGATTTTTCTGGTCTGGCTCCAGAGAGCTGCGATCATCACAGGGATGCAAGGAGAAATCAGGATGAGGACCTCAGCTTCATGAGAGTGATGATCCAGTGTGTAACTCTGCTAACAGCAAGTAAACCCTTTTATCAGCAGCTACAGAAAGCTGCCAGGGCTCTGGGCTACAAGCTTGCAGTGTTGACCACCAAGCCTCAAATGCACAGTGGAGGTCAATGCTGCTGTGTATAATTTGGGATGGCATCAGACCTGGGGTACTCTGGAGGATCAGTACCAGCCTGAGTTTGGGTACTGGTTTTGCTTGGCTATCTGATAGACATGTAAAGAAGGCCAAAGTCTTTTCCGTATTACTTGACATTTCATGTACAGAAATACATTGAACAGACACTCTGGAAGGCTTTTATTTCAAGTGTTGAAAACCTGGCAAAACGCTGGCTTCTCAGTGCACAAGAAAGGCTGTTGCTTTCACAAAACCCTGTGCTGGCAGCTGCTGTCTGTTCCAGCCAGTCTAGGCACCAGGAGTAAGCAAAGCGAGGGAGCATCCCTGCTCATTTCAAACATTGCTCCAGCTGGCTGCACATCAGGAGCTCAGCTTTCAGCTCTGCTGCACCCCATGTTGGCAGCAGCAGCAGGAGGACGGGCTCCGGTTAAAGCTGGTGAGTTAATGCGCAGCCTCCGCTGCCACAAGAACCAGCACGAGCCCGAGTAGATGCTTGTACCAGACTCTCTGTGCTACTGGGATCCTGCGGAGTGGTGGAGGGAAAGAAGGTGCTGAATGGCTGCCAGCAGCTTTTCTACACCTTGCTTTAACTCTGTTTCATTGCTGGTGCGCTCTCTGCTCCCTCCGACATGTGCCAGAGGCAAATACATCATTTAAATTACAAAGTTCTACAGTTGGGATGACCTCTTCTAATGGTTTCTCCTGGCTGTACGGTTTCTCTGACCTTGCTCTTTACTAAGAACAGATTCAAACATTTAAAGAGGAGATGCATGAAATAACTTACCTTAATTGTACCCTGACTGTTAGCAGCAATCAACACGTTGGACTCCTAGGAAAAAAAAAAAAGAGGCACTATCAATCTGCCATTGTTTCGTGGGTTTTTTTTTCTTTTTTGGAAGAAGCAGCAGAGAAGCAGCAGTTGTTTTTATCTTAAACATTAGAAGTGTATCTAATTTCAAAGGGACTTCACTCTTCCCATTTCCAAAACGCTTCCGAGGCTAAAAGTCTTTACAGAAGTTATATTACCTTGAAGAATTAGAAAGCAATAATCCTTAGTGCTTGTACAGCGCCCTGAATCTCCAAAGCAATTTACAAACATGAGTTAATCCTTACAGTATCTCTGTGAAGTGGGCAAATAATAATAATCATTTTCATCTTTTGGCAGCATATGGACAAAGGTCTCCAGCACCCTAACTAAACCGACTAATCACCATGACAAAACCTCTCCAGCTTGAGGCCACACAACCTCTCCCACAGCCGAGAGGTTTCAGACAAGTAAAACAAAGAGGAGAAGAGATTAGAGAGCACTAGGAGATACACCCAGTTTGGAAGGGAAGATGAACAGAGAGGATTCCAGCCCTGCTTTATTCAGAAAGGCAGCATCTATTTACCTCCTGCCAATTGATGGCGTTGCCTTTGGATACACCCTGGTTGTCTGCAAATTAATGGTCTGCTGCATCAGTCAGGCAACCCCCAGGCAAAAACTGGGTGCCAGCCACAGACAGGAGATGGCCTCTACCCTTCAAACTGCATTCCTGATGCGAGCAGCAAGTGCAGACACACCCTCCCAAACCAAAATCATTCAGACAGAGGAAAATCCAAAGGAACAATACCGTGTGAATAAACCTGAAGCACGTAAGTGCTGAGGGCGCTGGCAACAGCCCTGGAGATGCCAAGGTTGAACCGCTTCTCCCAGACTGGTGTCCTGCATCTGTCCTTGCACCAGCAGTTGTAGTGTATGCTGCCAAACTGCCCGCTGCGAACTGTTTTCTCTGGAGACAGCTGATACCTTTTCTCAGACACATTTTTCAATTTTTTCTCTCTGCTGCTATCCATCCCCAGACAAACTTGCTGTAATTATCCCATCACTTAACACATGCATTTTTAATAAACTCAGTGACTAGAATACACCCTGCTCCAAAGGGAGCAGAAAGCCAGCTCGACCCAGCCCCAACAGGGTTGCACGCTGCCTCACCATGAGGTTCAGGACTTTGCACAGCCACCAGCTTCAAAGCAAAGGGAGAAAAATCCTTTTCAATGCAAAACCCCACTTATCAGGTAAGAGTAGCCTTGTGGTGAATCACTGCGCTAATTGTTATAGATAAGACTTGTTCACCCTGGTACAATCATTAGGGGATTAGTTAAGGCTCCTGATATCATCTCACCAATGGTCCTCCAAGTCAAAGCTCCTGAAAAGAAAGTATATCCTCAAAGGAAGCATATAGTCCAATTTCCATTAATTTGATGGCTAAAAGAATCTAATCCTGTGAACTGCCCAGCTTCTGGTTAACAGCATTAGAATCAAAACCCACCGGGAGGAATACAGATAGAAATGTGATCTGGGGACTAACACAGAGACGAGGATGCCCGACAGGATTTTAGAGGCAAGGGGGAAACACCGGCAGCTATCTAGCGTGCAGTGCAAGAAACTTGAACTCCTGAGTACACATGATCCAGGGTTTGAATGATTCCTGTTTGCACTGTGAGTGATTGGTAATTCATCCTGTTGCTGCAGTCTGCTGGGGTACCACTGTAAATGAACTCTGGTTCAATGAACAGTTTTACCTGCTAAATAAAATAAAAACGCCAGAGGGTAATATACTCTCACTCCCTTGTTCTTCAGAAGCCACTGTTTTTTTTCAGCAGGGTCTGAGCTAATCACTGCTCTGCTGCTTTCATCCACAACCACGAGACGCAAACGGGAGCAGACAGCAGCAAAATTAGCACCAAATCTGTCATCGAACAAACAGTGACTTGCTTGTTAAGGCACTCTAGCACTGCTTCCCCAGGAACACAGCTAAATAACTTGTTTTCGATCGTCTAAAAAAAACAATTCTCGTCCTTTCGTGTTGCCTGTAAAACAGCCAATATATTCAACATGTTAAACACCTAAGCAAGTCATGAAGTTGCTTAGATCTTTAAGTTTGTAGCTCGCAACAGCTGTGTGGATGTTGAACCAATCCTTTTTCCAGGACATGCATGAATGGAGTCACCACGTGCTCAAAGACAACCACTATGACCACTTAACTGGCTGAATACCCATTTCCCCTACTGCACCACTACAAGCAGGGTGTCACCATCCATTGTGGTTGCATGTTTTATTTTACCATAATCACTATGCAGGGCAAGGAGGCTGAAAGGCTGGAATAGGTTGCCCAGGGAAGTTGTGGATGCCCCATCCCTGAAAGTGTTCAAGGCCAGGTTGGATGGGGCTTTGAGTAACCTGTTCTAGTGGGAGGTGTCCCTGCCCATGGCAGGGGGGGTGGAACTAGGAGATCTTTAAGGTCCCTTCCAACCTAAATCATTCTTTGATTCTACGCCTCCCAAATTTGTCTGCAGGAGCCAGAAACTCCCAAAGCAGAGGCAGGGGCTATGTTGGAGATCCACCCTGACTGAATAGTCCTGCTCTGAAGAAATCAGTTATTGAAATGACTCTTCTACACATACACCTCCTTCTATAGGTGGTTAGCACCTGTAGCCATTCCTGACAGGAGAGGCAGAAGGTGCCAGCTGCCTTTGCTAAACAAAATTGAAGAAAAAAAAAAAAACTAACAAACACAACAAAAATCAAGAGATGAGGGTTTACTGCCTGGCAAGCAACAGCATTTTGTTCCATGCGGCTGCTGATCTCAAGTATTACTGCACCCCGGTGGAAAGCCACCGACTGTGTAACCTGATGAAATGTGGCAACCTCTCGTCTGCACATCAAGGCAGATAAGGAGCGATTGGTGGATACGTGGTGCGGTGCACTCAGGTCCCCTGCTATGAGATAACGTGGCATCTCAACGAGCCAGGAACAGCCATAAAATTGACGGGAGACAGCTTAAGAGTTTTGGTCCTGTTAAGTCAACAGAAAAGAGCAAGGCTCTGGGGATGTGAAAAGTATGCATCTTTTTGTCTCTCAGCATTACATATGAATTTAGAAAGATTAATTGACAAACCTAGGTGCACCTCAGGACTCAGTCGAGACTAACAGAGTGTCCAGGTCCAGGACACATCTAAGATGCTCCAGGGCTGAAGTCTTATGCTAAGACTTATGAACAGCCTTCCACACATGCCAACTTTTTCCTCGACTGCAGAGACAGTATTAGGCGAAGTCTGAAGGACAGTTCCTTGACATTGGGACGGTCTTAACTCCACCACAAATCTTTGTTATTGCCTACAGACTGGACGCATATCCACACAGAGGTAGGCATTATGCAAAATGAAGTTGTAAATCAGTCCTGAGAGCACAGACAGACCAGACAGAAGCACCTCAGTCCTGATCCTGACACATCTCCTGGACACGGCACTGGAAGAACACGACTGATCCACCCACAGGAACTTAAGAGCATTTGCCCTTGGGATTTGAAGGGACTTTCATTGATTGTGCCAAATGAAAAAATTTCTGCAGCACATTCTTGATGGCAAACAAAAACAAAATCAAATTTAGGACCTTCCTGAGTAGATGAGCTACCTGCTACATTTATCATTTGAAGGAATTATTCACCCGGTGACAGCTGGGTTTTGAAGCGCACTGATTTCCTTCCCTCCTAGATGAGCCCTGTATTTGGATGGCCCTGGGGAAGCAATTTGTACAGTCAAGGAAGGGAGGAGAAGGAAAGTCTGGCTGACTGCTGGTATTCATGCAAGAGCAGTTGGCATTAAGAGAATCAGAAATGCTCTGGATGTTTCACAAAGCTTGAGGAAACTCAGCTGAACAACAGAAAATTGTCAGAGCTGCTTCAGTGCAGTAGGGAGTAAAAAGACAGCTGAGGTTGTAGCTCTTCCACTTTTTCCCTTACTTCTCTGTGCAAGAAGACATTGGGTGGCGCAAATCAAAGTCACTCCAAATGGACAACTGTTAAAACCACTGATGCGTCTCCTTGGAGGGACACACAGATATTCATGCGGACTCAACTCTATGGGGCAAGCAAAGGCTCCAGACAGACCCTCTAGCTAAGCTGTAAACACATCCTTCCAGTAACTGCAAGGCTCATCTCTCTCATCCCTCTTCATTAATAAAGAGCCACTGTGGACACCCACCTGCAGCCACAGTACTCCAGGAGTTAAGCAGCCCCCTCTCGCCAGCAGGCTCGTGCAAAATCACAGCTGAGTATTTCACTGTTTTCCTTTCCTGCCAAAAAATAGAGAGCCCATCCCAAAGGGGCTCAAAATAGGCAAGATCACTCACATTTTTTTTTTTATTTTCCTTTAATATAATAATTCGTGAGACCATTCCTCCTCCATTACCCCACATATATCAATCCTTAAAGTCAAATTCAGAAGTTCGCACCATCTGGTGCAAGTTTCCCTGAAGGAAAAGCTGGAACATGGCCTACACAAGAGGAGGAGCCTGGATGCTGACTTTTAAATATCTTGGCCCCCCTGTTGAGAGTGAAAGTGCGAATCAGAACATTTATGTGTGAACATAACCTATACTTTTATAGTTTGTAAACGCAGCAGTTTTACAAAAGCTAGCCTTACCAGGAACAGAGTCAGAGTACTTGAAGGCTGGGAATTGCAATGGGTAGCTAACAACCATGGCTTTGACCATGTAAGCCAACACATTAAAAGCTGTAGCAGCGCTCCTCCGTGCTATTAGCCCAACAAGACTAACCCTGAAATAAACTTACCCAACCGTATTTCCTGCATGGCCTGTGCTGAGGAAGGAAGAAAGTCTGGCTAAAGGAGAAATGGTACAATGTGGACTTATTTCTGACTTTTATGGTCTCCTCTACCTTCTACTGGTACCAGCAATAACACAACGGGCTGAAGAAGTTGTTCATTAGGAAGATTAAGATGCAAGATGTTCCTTTTCAAATTGTATGTGCACGTGTTCACCTGATG